AAGACTTGGCCCAACTTTTCTGCCTCCCTCTCTTCTGACACTGGCCAGGCAGCTGAGCAGCATTGCATGGAGCAAGTGTCCTCCCAGCCAGCGCGGCCATGCAGTTTTCCGGTCAGGCAGGTGAACCTCTTCCTGACTAACGTGGCCATACAGCTGGGGCAGGGAAACTGCATGGCTGCGCTGGCTGGAGAAGGCTCTCCTCCATGGCCATATTCCCCATTCTCCCAGCCAGCAGGGCCATACAGCTTCTCTGCCAGGTGAGCAAGTGATCCTCCTGGTCAGCGTGGCCATGCGGCTTCTCAGCCAGCATTCAGAGGCAAACAGAAAGATCCAGGAAGATCCAGGAAATGCGGGAAGTGGCGCTGGAGGACTGGAATGGGGGGCATCTAGCTAGCTGCCAGGCCAGCTTGGGGACACACCAGGGAAGGTCTCCGGTGAAGCGATCTCCCATGTGCTTCCCGTGCAGGTCAGGCCGGCTTCGAGAAACACATAGGAAGGGCTCCGGTGATGCGATCTCCCATGCACTTCCCTTGCAGGGCATGCTAGCTTGAGGAAACATATGGGAATGGCTCTGGTGCTGCGATCTCCCACACACTTCCCCCCTCCCTGCATGCACCTGCTGCTGGTATCGCCCCTCCCCCAGCTCACCCTCCCCTACCCACCTGCTGGCCCATGCCCTTCGGCTTTACCTTTGCAAGCAGCAGTGAGTAGACGTACGCAGCGGCTAGATTCTGCAAGTAGTGGTGGGGAGGGGCAGGTGGGGTGGGCGGGGCTAGCCAGAATTTCTACTAGTGGTTCGCCTGAACCAGCCAGGACCGGCTGAATTCCAACACCATTTATATAATAATCCCACTGCTAATTGTTCAGGTGCAACTTTATTTTAAGGTTATTTTTTACAGTTGAGCAGAGGAATTTCCTTGGCACACATAAATAGCTTTAGCTTCATTTTTATTAAAACTTGTTTAAGTTGAAGATTAAAAGTATCCTAGCCACAAACACTCTTTTCCCAACTAATGTTTTGAAATTAATAGATTAAGCAATACTGGATTTCTCTTTTTCATGATAAGCTCTAGTTTTTCAGATAAATTGATATAAAATTAAATGCCAATAGAGATTAGGAAGAGAAAGGCTACATGTTAGAGTTGTGTTCCAATTCACAATGAAATTTAAACCCAGATCAGTTTAGTGCCATTTTGGATAGATTTGTATTCACTTATAAAAATATAAATATATAGACAGCTCCAACTCATTATGTCTTAATTACAAAGGATCCACAAAGTTTTGTCCCCAATTTGCTGACACCATAGATAGATACACATAACTCTCTCTCTCTCTCTCTCTCTCTCTCTCTCTCTCTCTCTCTCTCTCTCACACACACACACACACACACACACACACACTCATACACACACACACATTTTGACACTGTATGTAGAACATCTTGGTGAAAATAGGATGTAGAAGGAATATTTTGATTCTGAAATTAGCAAGATATTTTAGGATAACAGTAACACTAGCAGTCTAACAATTATTGATCACTCCAGTCTCAACCTGTGGACAGAGTAGGAGATTATGGGGGTATAACTCATTGGACAATACAAGAGCCTGACTGGAGAAATTTGGAGCAGGTTGGACATTGCTGGTGAAACTACATTTACAATAGGTTATCAGGAGCTAATGGGAATTTCTATTTAAGCGTTGAAAGGAGAATACATCTAGCAAAGAGGTTCGCAACATTGTACAAGAGGTAGCAACTAAAACCATCCCGAAGAAAAAGAAAGGCAAGAAAGCAAAATGGCTATCTGAGGAAGTTTTGCAAATAGCTGAGGAAAGAAGGGAAGTGAAAGGCAAGGGAGAAAGAGAAAGATACACCCAATTGAATGCAGAATTCCAGAGAATAGCTAGAAAAGATAAGAATGCCTTCTTAAATGAACAGTGCAAAGAAATAGAAGAAAACAATAGAATAGGAAGGACCAGAGATCTCTTCAAGGAAATTGGAGATATGAAGGGAACATTTCATGCAAAGATGGGCATGATAAAGGACCAAAATGACAGGGACCTAACAGAGGCAGAAGAGATTAAGAAGAGGTGGCAAAATTATACAGAAGAACTATACAAAAATGAGCTTAACATCCCTGATAACCACAATGGGGTGGTCATTAACCTCGAGCCAGACATCCTAGAATGTGAAGTCAAATGGGCCTTAGGAAATCTGAGCAACAACAAAGTTAGTGGAGGTGACAGTATTCCACCTGAGCTATTCAAAATCTTAAAAGATGATGCAGTAAAAGTGATACACTCAATTTCCCAGCAAATTTGGAAAAACAGTGGCCACAGGATTGGAAAAGATCAGTTTACATTCCAATTCCAAAGAAGGGCAATGCCAAAGAATGTTCAAACCATTGCACTCATTTCACATGCTAGTAATGTTATGCTTAAAATCCTACAAGCTAGGCTCAAGCAGTACAATATGTGGATCGAGAACTACCAGAAGTACAGGCAGGATTTTGAAGAGGCAGAGGAACTAGAGATCAAATTACCAATATATGCTGGATCATGGAGAAAGCTAGTAGGTTCCAGAAAGACATCTATTTCTGCTTCATTGACTATGCTAAAGCCTTTGATTGTGTGGATCACAACAAATTGTGGCAAGTTCTTAAAGAGATGGGAGTACCAGACCATCTTATTTGTCTCTTGAGAAATCTATATGCGGGTCAAGAAGCAACAGTGAGAACTGGACGTGAAACCACTGATTGGTTCAAAATTGCAAAAGGAGTCTGGCAAGGCTGTATACTGTCGCCCTTAACTTATATGCAGAGCACATGATGAGAAAGGCAGGGTTAGATGAATCAAAAGTTGGAATTAAGATTGCCAGCATAAATATCAACAACCTCAGATATGCAGATGATACCACTTTTAATGGCAGAAAGTGAAGAGGAACGAAAGAGCCTCTTGATGCAGTGAAGAAGGAGAGTGCAAAAGTTGGCTTGAAACTCAACATTAAGAAAACCAAATTCATGGCATCCAGCCCTCTTAATTCCTGACAAATAGATGGGGAAGAAATGGAGGTAGTGACAGATTTTATTTTCCTGGGCTCCAAGATGACCACAGATGGGGACTGCAGCCAAGAAATTAAAAGACGCTTGCTCCTGGGGAGGAAAGCTATGGCAAATCTAGACAGCATACTAAAAAGCAGAGACATTATCCTGCCAACAAAAGTGCGTATAGTCAAGGCTATGGTTTTCCCAGTTGTAATGTATGGCTGTGAAAGTTGGACTATAAGAAAGGCTGAGCGCCATAGAATTGAGGCCTTTGAAACTATGGTGCTGGAGAAGATGCCTGTGAGTCCCTTGGACTGCAAGGCGATCAAACCGGTCAGTCCTAGAGGAGATCAACCCTGACTGCTCTTTAGAAGGCCAGATCCTGAAGATGAAGCTCAAATACTTTGGCCACCTAATGAGAAGGAAGGACTCACTGGAGAAGAGCCTAATGCTGGAACAATTGAGGGGAAAAGAAGAATGGGACGACAGAGAATGAAGTGGCTGGATGGAGTCACTGAAGTAGTCGGCGTGAGCTTAAATGGACTCCAGAGGATAGGAAGGCTTGGAGGAACATTTTCCATGTGGTCACGATGGGTCGGACACAACTTCGCAACTAACAACAACCACTAGAGCTGCTAACCAGAACTGTAATAATTAATTAATAATCAAAAACATCTTTTTGATCCCTCACTTCCCTTACTCTCCCCCCCCCGCAAAGTTATAAGAAGCTACAGTATAAACTATAACATTAAGTTTAGTGCAGGACACCCATAATTCTGGTTTACCCAAAATCGAAATCAGCACTAGCAAAGTGTTTTTGTTTTTTTTAATTTGATTTATATGCCGCCCTTCTCCGGAGACTCAGGGCAGCTTACAATGTGCTAAGCAATAGCCTTCATCCTTTTGTATATTTATACAAAGTCAGCTTATTGCCCCCACAACTGGGTCCTCAATTTACCTACCTTAGAAAGGATGGAAGGCTGAGTCAACCTTGAGCCTGGCGAGATTCGAACCTGCAGTAATTGCAGGCAGCTGGTCTTAATAACAGGGTGCTTTAGACCACTGTACTATGAAGGCTTTTATTTATATTTCCTATTTCTTAACTGCCCATTTCTTTCTGCTACCAAAATTTAATGGTAAAATGCCAAAAAGTACTGTTATGATTTTCTATATTTTTAAAATCATTATAAGAAGTAAAACTATAGATATATTATATTTTCCCACTTTGGTCACCCAAAACTTTCCAATTCATACAAACTTTTTGAAAGACTCTAGGAATGAAGTCCAGCTGCCCTGAAAAGAATAGGATTTCTCATAAACTCCAATTAAAATCTACCTTCAATTCCTATTGAAATAATTCATGACATTTAAAGACAGCATAGATACCAATCATTGTATCTATGATTGTGTTGTGTTGTGTTGGCTGGGTGGTGGTAGCAGCAAGAACCAATTGTATTCACCAAATGTATTGTATTCACCAATTAATCTGAGATGTAAAACACATTACTGTTTACTGATATCTCTAGGTGAGGAAAAGCAGATGTGTTGATGGATCCAGATAAAGCTCTCTTCCATGTAACTCCATATACAGCATTTATGAGTAGTGCCATTACCCAAACATCATTAACAGAGGTGAAAGATCAGTGGACTGGCTCCTTGTACTATTGTGTCAATTTATCTCAAATGTGCTTCAGATGATTATTCAGTCAAAAACATTCTCAACCATTTTCTCTTCTGCCAAGTGAGCTGATTCCAGCTCACTACTAATGTATTATTTCCATGTGTTTAACTTTTTTTGCCAAGATGATATGTATGTGTTTTAATAATTCTTTGTCTGATTTCCCGTATAAAGCATCATAAAAACCAAAGTGTAAGCAAAACAGCACCTACTTTTTTTCCATTACTCTGATAGATTGTTATCTGTTTATTTACAAATAATATACATTTATCTAAGCCTACCTGTCTTCCTTCCATTGCTCCTCGCATTTCCTTGAAAGTTGAACTGAATTCTCCAATGAAGTCATGCTTGCCATTGGAATCCCAGTCCCAGACTATGCACTGAAAGAGAAATATAAAAACTAAAAATCCCAGAAATTTGATTAAAACAGCAGAAACAATCCCTTTATGGGAAAAAAAAATATCAATTAAGGACTGTGCAAACCATATTCAAATTCTTAATATCTCCTCTACAATGAAATGAGAAAGCACCTACTTACTCCATGAAATCCATGGACACCTATCTCAACAAAAGCTAGCAAGAGTCCTGTGATAGGTCATAACCCTTAACTATGGTTCACCACAGGTAACAAAGCCATGGTAAAAAACAAACATTTAATCTCTGTTTGGGAAGGGGTGAGCATCCCATTTCATATATATTAAAGCCACTCAGATTTTCTGGTTATCATGCTTGTCTAAAAAATTTGCAGCTGCTTTAGGGAGACCATTTACTAAAGTTAAGACCTTTAAGACAGTGGCATTTTTGTCAGGCTCACATGGAAATTTAAAAAATAATAATTGAGCTTTATTAAATAAGAAATCTAAATAATGTTTTCTAATCATTAAAGTTGGGTCATAAGTACCTTTGCAGGGATCCATTGTGGTCTGAATGGTTGCTAACAACTGGTTGTTAAGTGAGGACTACCAGTAGTCTCTTCTTTCTTCAACTTAAATTCAGTTTTATTGTGGAAAACATTAAGAAAAGGATCACCTGCTTCATCTTTTTCTGATACATATAGGGTGCATCAGGATTTTGGCATTATGCATTTTCATCCTATTGTGATTATTCATCTAATATTTGATCCAATTCATATCAGCAAAGATTGTCTTCTCATATACATTTTATTATAATATACTGTATTTTCATTGTGGAATGCTTTCTAAACAGAAAGCTCGGATTGATTTTATTTTAATAGTTTCTTTAACCTGGTACAAATAAAATACCAGGGTTGAAATCCAGCCGGTTCTATCCGGCTCGGGTGAACCTGTAACGGCGGCTGCAGGAGGCTCCACCCACCTGCACGGATGTCATGCCATCATCTTTTTGCGACATATTAAGCCTCTAAGCATGCACAGAAGGCTTTGTGCATGTGCAGATGACGGCACGCGCACATTGGTGAACCAGTAGGGAAGGTAAGTAAATTTCACCACTGTAAAATACTGTCTTCTTAGAGGAAAGTCACAAGTGAGAAAGATAAGATATTCAAAGGATAGATATTCAAAACTCTTTATAAAATAGTTTACATTTGAGCACTTATGACTCATACTGTTAGATTGATTTTTTCTCCTACTGCCTTCCTACTCCTAGTGCTACTAAAATAGTGAAGAACCAGATTACAAGGGTGGGACCCACTAGCATGTACAACTAGCTTCCTGACAATACATGTAACCCATGAGGCAGAGGAGATTGCTATCTCTCCTCTGCATAGTTGAGCAATGACCTTCAAGAGTTTCAGACTGTGATCTTTTCTTACTCAGTGTTTTAAGGAACTGATTCTGAGACAGTGCTGAGCAAGGACACTATCACTGAACTCTGCACAATTACTTCTAAGTAGAGCCAATATTTAATATGTGAGTGACAGAGCCAGACTTTTCTGGAAATTGTAAACTAACTGTTTTAATGCCCCGCAGCTATGGTAAAATGGTTACACCCTGAGCCTTTTGTACATTATTTTGTACAGTATCTTCTATTCTTTCTTTATAAAAGGGAAAATGCATACAAAATAGCTTCAATCACAAAGCCTTTATTCCTTGATGAAGATACCTTACATGATACGTAACTGCCTTTGACTCCCTCTCCCATCCTACCACTTATAAAAACAAGTACACAGAATTGCCACTTGCTGATTAAAGAAAAAGACAAAGGATCATGATTGTGTTAATGATCCATTCATCAGTCTTTAATTAGAATGTCAGAAAGTTGTTTCAAAAGAGAAAGGACAATTTTAGATTGTCTGGGGTTTGAATTTTAATTGGAGATCGCAAATTACATTGAAGACTGCTAAGGTTAACATGCTAAAGCTGATTTTTTAAACTCCTAACTTTAGAGAAGTAGTTCCTAGACCTTTAGAAAGCCAAATGATTTAGTACCAAAGTTCATGGACAAAAGATACTGACATTATTTCATTGTTGTTTGCATAGCTATAATTAGAAGGAAGTTTTAGAAGCATGATTGATGTCTGGAAATATTCATTTTGGATATATGATATATAGATCAATATACCATATATAACCCTCTGTGTCGTCATGGTACATATGTGATTTTAGCCTTACCAGGTAGACCAAACAGGAAATACCACCGGGTAAGCTAATTCTACTTTATTGTAAAGCTACATGAACAGAATCTTGAAACACTGAAAGTACAATTCTCCCACTGATTTCTTTACAACCTGAGAAACTATGAAGAGTTCCCTTCTGGTTATGTTGTCCTGCCCAATATTCAGTTTCTGGTTATTATCTCTTATATGATCAGTCCCTAAGCAGAATTTTGTTGCTTGTCTCTCAAAGTCTTTCCCACATACCATTAGTATGCTACAAAGACACATACTCTGAATTCTACTTTCAAATTCTCAAGATTTATTGGAAGGTCAAAATAAAGCTATTCTTATCAGACCCAGCCTGTCCATTTTCAAAGACTGTATGTTAATTCCAAACACCTGGAAACATGTCATACTTTTTCTGGAACATTTCTGAAATATTATTAATGATAAGGAATCACAGTCCCAAGGTGATGAAATAGGAAGCTCAGGATTGGGGCTGGTTCAATGTCAGAATTTTCAAACCAAGACTTGGATGTAAATTTGCAATGCTTCCACCTCCATGACTTAACTTCTGTTGTTTTCATTTATTTCCATAGTACTTATTTTTATTTTATTTTGTCAAACTATAAACCACAGTGAGTCTCTTACAGTAAAACAGGATCAGATACTGGGTGTTTGCAAAGGTATGGGTCAAAAAAAGTCATGATGGCACTTGCTCCTGTATGAACAAAATTTTGACCCTTTTTAAAAGCAAGTCATGCCTGCAACACATACAAAAAGAGGCTAAACTTTAATTATATCATTACAGTAACTATCTTGTCATTTTGAGCCTCTTGCCCTTGGTAATCTATGCCGTAATCACAAAATCTCCAGAACTGTAAACCCTACAAACTTGAAATTTGCCACATATGTTCCTCTTTGCTTCACTAAGAAAGGATTTTTTGAAATGACCATCAGAGCATTAGTATTTCCTATATTATGATTAACATGCTCTGATGCTAGGAAGTTCTACTCCCCCTCTCCACCTGAAAAGAAATCTGTTCCTAATGCAAAACACAAGCAGAAGAGAGGAGTTTCACTTTCAGTTTTACTTTCACAGTAGGAAGCAGCTTTAATACAGAAAACTTGAGCTAAGCCACAGCCAGCCTCCTTCCTGTCTTCTTCTTGCTCACACAGCAAATACTGTTTCACTTTTCAAACTCTGATGCTAAGGAGTTCTACTCCCCCTCCCCACCTGAAAAGAAATCTGTTCCAAATGCAAAACACAAGCAGAGGAGAGGAGTTTCATTTTCATTTTTACTTTCACAGCAGCAACCAGGGGATAGATTAGGGGAGGCTTCTGTGGGGCAAGCCTGAGGGAGAGAATAGGGGAGGATAGGGGAGGCTTCTGTGGGACAAGGCTGAGGGAGAGTTAGGGGATAGTATAGGGGAGCCTTCTGGAGGCAAGCCTGAGGGAGAGAAGGGGATAGGATAGGAAATGTTTCTGTGTGTCACTGCGTTATTTTATTTGCCAGCTGAACTCATCATTTCTGGACTGTCAGACTCTCCGTAGCTTGCCAACTTTTTATCAGTAAGCTACGTGTTTCCGTATCCACCCACATTCCATTCCTTCACACTCTTTCCTTTGTTCTCTTTCCAGCAAGGTCCGGCTGAGATAGCCGGCAAGAATTACTTTCAAAAATGTAACAATTAACTTTTCTTAGTTAGTGAGGTGTTTTATTTTCTTTATAACAAATAAATGAGTTTTATTAGAAACCTTTCTTCGCGTTTCTTTTTCAGAATATTGCAAACAAGGAGGAGCCACGATTCATCTCCTCTAATTAAACCAGGCTAATTAGTCCCAGAGCCAAACATGGGATTAATAAATGCCCTGACATCTGGTAGCTCTCGGACGGTTGATTTATGGCCTTTTTCCTTGTTTTGTTATTTCTGATAAGAGCGCATAGGCAATTAATTTTTAGCTACTGAGGTACGCTAATTATATTGCTGAGATGCCGAAACAGAAGAAAAACAAATACAAAATGTATTTTGCTGAGAAGGTGACAGAAAGGAGGTTTCCAGATTTCCAGCCCCTTACTACAGCCACACGCCTGGAACGAGAAGAAGCCGTGGGAACAGAAATGGAGGGAGATAAGACAGAAGCTGTTTTTGAAGATGATGATTTACGACTGAGGTCAGTAACATTTTCTTCTGATCTTCCAAGCTCTGAAAAAGTCTCCCCAGAACCTTCTGAATTTGTAACGCTCGATGCAAGGCCAAAGCACACTGCCGAGCAAAATTACTCCCACGCAGAGAGAGAAACAATTCATTATTCTCCTCGAAGCTCTAAGCTCACCCTGGATGAGCTGGCTATGAAAGCCTATCGTGACCGTATAAAACTCTATGAACAGCAGCTATCCCAGGCAAAAATGGCTATATATATGCTTGAGCAGGATAAGGGAGACAACTTAAGATTTTCAAAAAGTGCCATATTGCCTTCTTCTCCGGAGCCAAAGACACTCCCCCTGGTGGATTTTGTGTCAGGCCAATTAAGGCAGAGGGCACTGCATACGTCACATGAAAGTCTCCCTGATCAAGTTACATATAAACCTGCCACGCAATCATTTCTTGTAACTGGGCTGCCCGAAGCTAAAGGTGCAGCACCATCTGCTGGCAAAAGTAATTTACTACAAGAAGCTGAAATGCCACAAGTGTTTCCACAGGCCCAAACTCAAACACCCCCTGGCGGTGTTGGTGTCCTTTTAGATGGAACACAGCCACGCTTTATGCAGCAAAGGCAAGTGATTGCATCTCCAGCA